TTATTACTCTACTACCAAAAATAGTTAAGAATATGTTCTCAATTTTCCTCTTAGACTAAAATTTTGCCAACTTTGTCACGAAATCAAGTTAGTCTCTCGTTTAGTTTACAAAGACAACATAGAACGAATAATCGTTCCATTTTGATCAAAATGACAATTCACCATTATGCAAGTTTTTTTATGGCATAAGCCGGCAAACCTGTCTGATCACCTGATGGTAAGCAATCGGCGTCGCCCATGAATACATGGAACACCAGAGGCGTTACAAGTGCGTTACCGGCCTTTTGGGAATTAGGAATTTGAGGATCATTGGGGATTCAGGAATCGGGGAGATTGAGGAAGGGGAGGGTAATTGAGCCTCCGGTAACCTCACTCACATGACGAAACACAACGCAAGCGTTGCTTTACGTCGGTTTTCTGTGAAGCCGTGGTATCACTCCGGTCGAGCCGGCGCATTCGTGCCGAAGCATGGCTCTCCCACACTTAAAATTCAGTCTGAGAAAATACAGCACTATTATCATAGCATACTACATTTACAAAAATAAGACCAAAACATCTTACAAGACACAACTAGATACACAATACTATATCCCAAGGCCCCACAAAAGCGAATTTCCATCAAATTATCAACAATAAGGGTTCGATACAACGACCTTTTTCGAAAAATATCCTCAACGTCGACACAATGGGTGTGTCCTATCCTATCTGTAGCCAGGACACGTTCCGAAGCCTAATAGGTACCCTAAGGGCTAACAAAGGAGCTAACGTGACGAATATTTGATAAAAAGACAACCCTATTACAGGTGTTAAGGGGTATTAGATAAATCTCGGTGTTATGTTTTTGATAGTTTTATAGAATGGTTATATAGAGGCAAAGTTTTTTTATTTATCTCTATATTGTAAGGGTTATTGACAAAGATAGGGTACAATTGCTATACTGGTAAAGTTTTTTGTGTGTTTTTTTTTAATTTACTAGTTTTATGCCCACGACTTCGTGCGCATCCCAATCCCATTTTCTTCCGTTACCGAAGGATTTTAAGGATTTTTTTGTCTTAAGAACCTTCTCCTAATAATAACAAATACAGCTAAAAAAGAATTAGTGAAATCAGTCCAGCCATTGACGCGTGATGCCGTGACCAAGGGGAAAAGGGATTCATTTTTATATTTATTTATTCAATGCACTAACAACTACCATTACACTAGTTACACCAGATAGTGTAACTATTAGTCTTACAACATCTTCTTAATGTTAAGTGTGTTATATTACCCCCAGAAGTAAGTTTAAAAAGATAAAATTAGCACTAAGAGGTACTTTTAGTTGACCTTATTGTATGTATTATAATATGGGCATAAAATGACACAAAATACTAGTTTCTTAGTTGGTTTTTTTACCTCATCAACACAAAAATCATAACCTTAAACTGCTCCATTACTTCTTGAAAGACGAACAAACTCACTGACACATTTATTTAGGTTAGGATATAAACACACACACTGAACGTCATAAAACGTGATATCAGTTACGGATTATAACCGGCGGGTGCATTTAATGTCCCGACTAACGAGGAGAGAGGTTTGCTTTCTATTACAACCGTCGGTTAAACACCTGATGCCAATCGTTAGACGTTCTAACTGATATTATTATATTTAACTAGAGGTACAAATTGCCTTGTTTTCACGTTGATTAATTACCGCTATAAGATATGGGGATGTTTAATTATAGTCTTTAGTAATAAGGTTGTGTTTTGTTTGACAAATTTAAAGTAAAAAAGAAAAAGCATTTATTTCAAACGCTAAAATAAGTGACATGTACAGATTATAAATGTCTAAATATGTAAGATAATAAGTACGTATTTGTTCAATTGTTCACGTCTCAAGTTTGCGATAAAATGGGGCCATGCAGCTTACTTATTCTACTGACCCCTTTAAATTGATTTGGTCTTTGACCTCTAGATAGTTTATGCTAAAGTAGACGAATCCGCAAGTGGCATAATTGTAAACTTGTTCTAGTACAAGCGCCACAAGGCGACTTTATCCCAAAGCATCACACACCACTCTAAGTAAATGAGCGAACATATAAAAAATATAAAAAAAAGTTTTATACCTTGCTACATAAGGCACAAAATAAATCAAACTCGTGGGTACCTACACTATAAACTTCTCGCCCACACTTTCCACAAAAACATATCTAAACGAGTTGTTATTCTTGTGAAAATATTCTGTCATAACATGGAAAAATGGTATTCGTATTGTACTTTGACTTTTGAGCTAACATATTAAATAGCCATTCGTAATTTCAGTACTTAATACTCACTTTATGCTGGCGCCAGACATGACATACGTCACACTGCGTAGCGCGAACATTTGAAGCTTTTTTATCCGTGCAAATGACACAATATGGAACACTGATGTAAACAAACAAGTTCGCACAAGTCTGGCGCCGGCATTAGAATAATATATTTCAAATATTCACAAACGTTTCTCTTACCAATTCAAATTTACTAATGGTTTTCGACAAATCAATTAACTGAACGACCATCCGCCCAACCCTATGCGTTTTACCTAAAATAAACTATAATACCTTCCAAAATAAACTCTAACATACGAAACTGAAAGCACAAAATTGAATGGAAAACATAATGCTAAAATGTGCATTGAAGTTTCAACTTTAGAGTATTAATTTTGTGGTTTAGATTCCAATATTTGTTGAAAAGATAGGTACCTACAATAAGTTCGATTGGTTTTGTGGACGTTGCAAGAGAGTTTTGAACTTGTGTTAATTAATTTCCTGGTAAATTAGTGCTCTACGTAGAACATTTTAGGAAATCCAGACCAATTTCAGAAAAGGGTTCATGATTTTAATATTTTTGTCTCTCTATAGAATAATCTACCCAGGCTCTAAGTATAGTAATGAAAAATTAACGTATGTAACGAGGAGATTAAAAAAGGTTGATAAAAACGTGATCTTCTTTAAAAACACATACTGGTCTTTTTTGGTCCTTCGCTACGCGTAGTAATTAAATCCCGGTTACGTCATACGAATGTAACCAATAATATGCAAGTACCAACGAAATAAACTTACGATTACTAAATAACAATACAACCGTCCTTTTTACAAGAAAATTCCAGTAACAACTGACGACCTTTTAATCGTCAGTCAACACAAAGTTAAAGATAACGACATTTTAATTCACCTTCTCTAACATAACCACAATACGATTTAACTACAACATTAAACTCATAGCAATTAACTAAAAGGGTGTGTAATCTCTCAATACACTGTTAACTATAGAATATAAACATAGAAGTGATACCACGGCCTCACAAAAAACTGACGTGAAACAACGCTTGCATTGTATTTCGCCGTATGAGGTTACCGGAGACCCAGGCCATCCATTCTCGCCATCGTCAATCTCTAAATCAACTACCCGCAAATGCGACTGGCAATGGATTTCGGGTTTGTTTCCCTAGTCAGGAAAAGATACACTGGAATTTAAAAAAAAATCTCAGTAGTAGCACGGAGTCTGGAATCGTGGCGGGTATATGGCAATAGGCTCAGCCCCTATTACATTGGACTCATAAAAAAATTGTAAACTGTGGGTGTTACAATGTACAGTGGCATTAAGTGTCGCAATGTGCAGCTCTGCCTTCGGGGATAAAAAGCGTGATGTTTTGTTACTAAATTCCCAAACCCTAAATCTCCAATTCTAACTGCCAACAACTCTAAACGTTGATTGATCCATGTGCTTGTCTACCTCCATAAAAAGAACCTTGCGTACCAGAACTTCAACACAATATTCAATGAATAGAATTTAACTAGAAACGTGTGTAGTCTCTTCATTCATTGCTAACTTAACCGTCGGTTAAGATTGAACTATTTAAACTCAGTTTAATTAAAGTGTCTCATTAGTTGGTAGGTGAAATAAATAAAGGTAACGACTCCCCCGGTAGAGTAATTGGTTTTAATATGTTGTGGTTGGTGTACTGGTAATTTTGTGGTGTTTCCACTATTATGTTTGTTATACTATGTTCGGTGCGAATTGATATTGTTGTGGTAGATAAAATGTAGTGCGATTTTCAATGAAAATCTGTTATTTAGAATACTAGATTACTATGAAATGATAATGTGACTTGACAAGCGATTTAAGAGCGAAACTAATTTCATCGTCAAACAATAAGCTGATAAAAAAAGATCGTCTACATTTTATTAAATATAAACCTGATTCTCTGCGCTGAAAGTTTCAAAATCGATCAATAAAAACTTTATAGTAACCTCAGTTGGTGAACTTAGTGCCCGACCTTGACACGTCTAACTCGAAGGAGATTTCAAAATTAAAGAAGTCTACGATTTTCATCCACTTATCTAAGTACCGAAGGTACATTTTTATTAAGTACCTCCATTTAGTCAAAGAATGTATCAATTTCACACTTAATTCTCACGTTCAAGTTATTTGTCAAAGAACCGTAGCTTAGTCGACAATTTATCACCTAGTTTTATCAACTTAAAGCAACTTTAATAACGCCTTTATCACTTAGTGCTTCGGTCCGCACGCAACGCAAAATAAATGATTATTTGCTACTAAATAAATTGGTAACTAACAACACAATTACATTTTCAAATCATAGGCAGTAATAATTAATTAGCAATGATTAATTGGAGTTCATTGCTTTCACAATGTACACAGACACACGCATTCAATGAATTCACGTTGATAAATCGTCTATTGTTATCGAATTTGATGTCATCATGACGTTATAAAATGCTTTTTTGTTTACTGGGTGAATTCATTTTTCCCTATTTCATTTGTTTTATTTAGGATAAAAATACCAAATTTAAAAAACGAACAAACGTATGGTACTTTGACCTACAGGGTCCAAAACAGTCAATGAAATCTCGATGCGGTTCGAAGGACCATTTCCATTTGGTCCTTCGGTCCTCCTTCGGAACTCGTAAAAAGAACACTTTTCAAATAAGTAACGATAAAAAAGAAATGACTCACGATGGCGGGATCCCTCCGACGAACACATCCGAGTTTGAATTGAACTTCCCGAACGCAAACTCTTTGCCTCGCGACGTCTTACTTTGCGTGATGCCATCCACAGTTAACGACGTGTGCTCGTCGCGACGCGCCACCTGGCGGGGAAAGAAGGGATTAATCACGGAATCTACATGTTTCAAGCTTTCAAGTAGCCTTTATCCGGCTTTACTGAGAGAAACGTATGAACAAATGTTGAGGGTTTTGTGAAAAGAAATTATGTAAGACATTTCGTTAAAAGTGACACTTGTCTTGTTACGTAAGTGCGTGCTTAGCTGTCTAAGATCCCTCATTACGTGTGCGTACTACGTGTCTTGGGAATTCATTTCTTTACGTATACAGAGAAATATCGAATTTAGTTATCTTCTTTTGTACGAAGGTACCTACTCTAATTCTACAGAACTACAGTACCTACTTATGAAACTTGTCAAATCTAATGCGACTTTATCCCTTTGCTTGGTTTTCTGCTAATCACCTATTTTTAAATGTGTCTTTCATGGAAAATATAGGTTTTTTGATTGTAAAATTCGCCAAAAGCTGTATTTCAGCTCACCTAACTTACCTACCCTTACACAAACCCTTCAAGAAAACAAAGGCGTAAAACCAAATTATTTTAGCACACGGTACACACTATTCGAATATAATACAAGTTCATCGATGTTAGCAGCATAACGTCGAAGTGAATACAAGGCATTAGAAGCGTAATTAATTAGACTGTCATACGTCATATCTACAGAGGATTAGAGGGATCCGTGACGTCATTAGTGCACAGATGTAGACTGCTTTTGTTCTGGGATCATCCTTGGCTTAGATCCAGTGAGTGAAAAAAATTATGTTTAGACCTGAGAAGGTTTTCGAACAAAGGATAACAAATATCTAAATACTCGTTGAAAAGCAAGAACAAAAAATATGATATAGACAATTTGTTGCTCACCTGAACTTTATGCCAGTGTCCATCATTGAGGTTGCTGCCCACAGTGATAATCTGGGCACCACCACCCAGATTATACCTTAACCGCAACGCTCCATTAACAAGCTTCAATTCAAAAAAATCATACGTGCCACCGTCATCCGTATACAAAAGTAGACCGTTCGGCTGGTCAGTTTTGAATTCTAATTCGAGTGTGCCGTTCAGACCGGCGTTCCATTTTCGAAATTGAGAGTACGGGTTTTGTTTGTCAAGTACGAATGCGAAGTTTCTGTTGAAGGAGAGTGAGAGGAGACAGAAGAGTATGTAGCGCATCGTGGCGACGTCGGAGGGCATTGCTAGTCAACACGTCACGCGACGCCCGAGCTGTGACTCCTTCTGCGTTTCATTTCTTGCGGCTGAAACAAATTAAAATAATTTCATTAATGAATGATGATTTATGAAGGTCGATTGGTTCTCAATAAATTTATGTATTGATATTTTCTTTCTGATGTCTGATTGTAGTGTATTAGATATAAGATGTTGTTTATAATTATTAAAATGAAAATATCGTAGATTTGTATTCAGAGTGTGAGAATATGCTTGTTATTTAATACAAGGTATAAAATAACAGAGATCTAAGATAATCATTTAATTATTATTTGGTAAAACTAGAATGATAGAACCCAAACACGGCCCGGAGTCAGATACCTGTACCGCTATACGTAGAATCCTTTGCTTACTTTCTGAATAACCAACACAACCTTCACCAAACTTTTTTTATGGGATAAGCCGGTAAACAAGCAGACGGATCACCTGATAGTAAGCAATCGGCGTCGCCCATAACCACCTGAAACACCAGAGGTGTTACAAGTGCCTTCTGGGAATCGGGAATTTGAGGATTGTATTCAGGGATTGGGGAGACTGGAGAGGGGAGGTAATTTGGCCTCCGGTAAACTCAATCACACAACGAAACAGAACGCAAGCGTTGTTTCACGTTGGTTTTCTGTGAGGCCGTGGTATCACTCCGGTCGAGCCGGCCCATTCGTACCGAAGCTTGGCTCTCCCACACTTTTTTTTTAAGGGGGGAACGCGACGCTCCGTCCACTCGGGTCTGTTTCTGGTCGGACGGGGAGCCACCCATGCTCGCCGTCCGCAGGCCCGCGCTTACGGTGGCCGGAGGCTCTCTCACACTAGCTAGACTAACAAACACAATTGTTCACCCAAACACAAACTATACTTGAAACATGACACTTAGATACTTATCTCCCAAACACATTATTGGTAAGGACCTTAATATTGAACAAGTATGTACACAAATTCTCTAATAACGTCAAGATGGATCAATTTTGATGGATGACGTGTCCATCGATTAGTCCCTAATGACACGCCTATTGAGGACATGTCCTTTATATTTATAGTTTAAAGGAGGGTCGGAGGTCAAAGGGAAGTTTCGTGTGGGGATTGCAGGGTAGAATGAACAAAGGTTTGGGTTAGTTGCAAGACTTGCAAGTAATCGATTGTGAGGATGATGGTGAAGGTGATGAATTTGGTTAAAATCATTACAACAACTATATTTCTGCCTATTGGTAGGGTCGATGTTTTTATTTGGAACTCTTTAAAAGTATTCATGCAGAATAATATTGCAAATTGTGATGAATGAATGAGTGAATTACACCCGGAGATTGGGAAGGGAGGGGGGGGCCTCCCTTCCCAATCTCCCCAATCCCTGCATCCCCAACAATCCTCTAATTCCTAATCCCTAAAATGTCGATAACGCACTTGTAACACCTCTGGTGTTCCGAGTGTCCATGAGCGACGCCGATTTCTTACCATTAGGTGATCCATCTGCTCGTTTACTGGCTTATCCCATAAGAAAAACATGAGTTAATTAGCTTCTACATTAAAAGATCGAGGAGTATAACTAACATAAGAATCTCTAACCATCAACTAAACAGAACGGTTTACTTACGTAAATATACTGAGAAAAGCTCTACAAGTTTCGAGTCACAGAGGAACTCTTCCTCATGAACAGCGTGCCGCGGTCACGGCGACGTTGCGCAGCCTACAGCTTACCACTAGGTATTATAAAAAAATCTAACCATGTTTACAAGGCATAGTGTTACGGCAAGACAAAGTTATACTCTATTCAACCGAGGTCCGAATCCAAACACTTAAACACGTACTTAACTATTCCTTTGCATGTATGCATCACCTATAGAAATATAGATAGATATTTAGAAAAAACTCATCGTGTCTTACATTATTTTTGGTGGTTCATGATATATTATGTCAGGTAAGCAAGATGACTGTCCTCCCCACAGCATTATCCCTTAGTCACATTTATGGGACCCATGGGATTTAAAGGGTCCTCGTAACCTACCTCTACATCCTCAGGGGATAAGCAGGACTCTAAACTGTACTATGATAGTTATTTGAAAGGGAGTAAAGTAATATTTGAGAAGCTACCTTGTTACTATGGGATTAGGGTTGTAAACTCTTGATTAGATATTAATAAACTGTTAATAATATTTGAAACTGGTAAAATGGCTGAGTTCAGCATTATATGATTATGAAACATGCAATGAATGTTCTTAATGAAGAATCGTAAGTTGAAAATCGACAATTCGTTACTCAACCCGGAAGTTTTGTCAGTTCCATCAGATCACTAGATTAATAACACGATTGCTAAAACCAAACCAATCAAATATAACCAAAACACAACCAAAAATAATCATAAAATTAAAGCAAACATTTATTTTGAAACATAACAAAACATTCCACGGCACAGCTGCAACGGACATGAAAATCCCGACGCACATACCACGAACGCCACAGTGTAGAAAATATGCTCAAACATAACAAACCTAAAGTACAGTATGTTACAGAATAAATATGAATCTAAGATATACTATCTTCGCAGGTAAAAGACACTTGGTGCCACAAAAGAGCTGCAGTAAGAAACTAGGCCGACAGAAAACTGCAGAACGGAATGTAGGAAAGTTTGGAGGTGGCATAATGCGTATATAATGAGCAGAGATGGGAAATATATTTGTACCACACTTTTGGATACTTGGAAAAATGCAAATAAAGCAGCAGATGTTGCACCGTTGTTTGATGTAAGTTTAATGGTTTTGGAATTCAAATGTAATTAGAATGTATTTGTTACTATATAATTAATTTTTAAGGTATATCTCTTTGTTGGCAATGATTCATTATCATAATAATTTTCATAATATATGTATCTTTATAAATAGACCCTACTATTTTATATTAGCCACGAGAGGTACTAAACCCAAACAAACTAATTTATGTTCATATCGTACAACGAAAATGTAACAAAAGCTGTTATCTTACTGCTTGCAGTGCAAATCCCTGAAAAATTCAAGCACCAAAAACGTCTATTAATTTATGCCTCGTCCAAAACTTCTTGAGTGAGAGGGTCATTCCGAGCGGGAAGCGCCCAGTCATCCCGCTGGAGCGGAAAGTTGGCACCGACCCCGGAATTTACCGGTTCCAGCCGGTTTTTACCGACTTTTTTTCGGCCCGAGACGATTTCTCCCCCTGACGACTGATTTGACGCGCTCTTGTGCGAAACTTCTCGATTTGTTGAGCTTGCTTTTTTAATTTCTCTCCGGACTTTCTTGTAGTCACGTTTTAATTAATTGTTGGCATTTTAACGAGTAACTGTGACACAGAGAAGGCCGTATATCGGAGCAAATTTAACTTTGTGCTGTTAGCTATTATTAAGAATCAATGTCGTTACTTTGAACGTAATTAAGTACCATCTGTCGCTTTTAATTAAGGAATAAACTTAAATATGGTTGAAATTAAATTTCGACTGCCTCCTTGATCAAATGCAGACTTAACACGAAATCTTGGAGATTTCTAATTCTAGAAGGGCAAAGTATTGTGTAATTACCTAATTCTAGTATTTTATTGTATTATAACAATACAACAGCTAAAATCAACCTATGAAATAATTCTCACTAGAGAAAATAACCTTTGTGCTTATCCGTTCAGGTCAAAAACAACACAACATTGTTAAGAAAACACTTAAAAATAGCTCTCCAAATATCAGTCTTAATCTTTACAAGAACTAAACAGAAGCGTGGAAGTAAACATAGTGAAGTATTTCTTCTAAGCTTGGAGCATCCTCGGAGCGAGTCAACGCAACGAACTCGAGACAAGTGGGCCGCCAGTAAATGTTCCCAACACACGTTCATAAATCTTACGTTTTATATTCCCTTTCCCCGCACTACAAGTAGAAGGAGATAGCCTTCTTTTGTGCAAATTGAAGATACAATCTTGTACTGTTGCCTACCATGAATTAAAGTAAGGTCGTTATGTAATGCTGTTTTTTGGGTAGTGAATTATAATTTTGCATGTTACTGAGGGTATAGTAGACATGGCTTTGCCTGTTACGTCATCAGTTGGTCGTCAATTAGGTTGTTACTTTTGAGATTTTTTGTTAGAACTATGGTGACTTTGCATTATTTCTGAAACCAACATAGCCAAAGTAGATTACGGACTTCGTATCAGTATCATCATTTTATAAATGTACTCGATTCAAAAAAACCTAAGCAAACCATCAAACTCACCCACTATTTAAACATACAATACATCTGTATCACGAAGTTCCTCATGAGAAGTAAGCTTGATAACTTCTAAATCAATTTCAACATTTCCTTATTGGTAAAACAGACCCTTTAACAAACAGTCCACTCTGGAAAACTACTTACTATTTCCTATCAACCCTCCGAACGCTATAGTTTTCAATTCTCCGGTTGCTCGAGACACGAGCCAATATCCATGGGAAATGGATAACTTTACAAGTCGAATGCGACATGTACCCACATCGGGGGCCTTTTTCATCCCTTAATATCATAAATGTAATGATTTATGTAACAGTCCTGCTATATAATACTGTTGGGTTCCGATGCGGGTCTAACAAACATATGTATATCGAGTTGGCGACTAGTTTTTCGTGGTCTATCTGCAATAAGTGCAAACAAGACCCAATTATTCAGCATGTGTTGTCTGATTGTCATGGGGTTATGTTTTTTGTCCAACAGTATTAGGATTCTCAAGCTTCACTACTCTTTTAGTAATAGTTTACTTAGCAGATTTTGTGGAAATTAAATCACATCTCGTATGATAAGATGGTTTTAAGTGATTTAGCTACATATTAACTTTAAAAAAATGTAACAATGTTACCATCCACTTATTTCCAAAAGAATAAAAATCCACACAACTCAAATGCTCGTCCTTTTAAGCATTAATTCCCAATAACAATGTACATCAACATAAAAATCAGATTACAACTTTCTCCCATAAAGATCATTTCATCGAAAATC